CCAAACCGGGCGTTCAATATAAATTTTTTTTTTTTTTCTGATTTAAAATAAATATTTTTTTTTTCTGAATTAAAATAAGTTAGTAAATTTAATATAATTTAGTTAATTCAATGAAATTATAATAATTTTATGTGTACAGGATGTCTAATTGGGCGAAAAAATTCGGACTGGGAAAAGGGAAAGGACCCCTGATTCGTCCTCCTGCAGATCCGGTGGAGGAGACTACTGCGGAACGGGAGGGAAGGACACATAATAGAAATGTTACCAGTTCTAAACGTCGTGGGGAACGCACTGGTGCTTTTGTACCCCCACGTACGATGATTGAGGAGGAGACAGAGACAGAGGCCGAGCAGGAGATGGATGCACCCATGGATGCATATATGCATCCGCAGGAGTACGAGTACGATCCACAACTACGCTTTCAGCAGAAGTATCAGTTTTCGGTGCCGGATTTTCCATCCGATGACGATTACGAGGATGTTCCGACTCCGACTCCACCTCCTGTCCCGATGGGTGGTACTTTCGGTGGTTCTAATCCTGTCTCGAGGTCCCGCACCGCTCCGAGAAAAAAACTTCCTTCTCGACCTTGGATGTTGACTGGTGAGACACCCGGTGGACCTAAATATGCTCACTTGATTCCGAGTTTTGGAGTACATATTGCCTACGACATTTGGGAGTTAAGGTAATACTTATTAATATTAATAAATTTTGTTTATAATATTTACACTTGATTGTGGTATACTTATATATGAATATATCTTTAACAGGGTCGACATATGGTTAAATTACGGTCGCACGCGAAGTGTACTTGGCCGGGCCCCGACGACGATGATTTTGTCTCACTACTGGAGAGTACGGACTTGTATCACTTGCGTGATTGTTCGCTGCCTCAGCACAATAACCCACTAATAGAGGCTTTTATTGAGAGGTGGCAGCCAGACACCAACAGTTTTCACATGCCATTCGGTGAGATGACAATTACCCTCCACGACGTGCATTTCATCATGGGTTTTCGAGTTAGTGGAATTCGCCCTAACGTTTGGATGGATAAGGCCGACGCGATCCAGCTTGGTGCGAGAGCTTTCGGGGTCGACCCCGCACTTATGGAGCAGTGGTGGTATGGTGGCGGACCCCGGTTAGATGATTTGGAGGTGAAGTATGCCGACAATTCTACATTTCCTTCCGCGTATCGGGTACGAGCATATATTGCATACTTGCTCGGAAAGTTGTTGTTCGTGGATAAGAGTGGATCGAAGGTCAGAGCAGATTTTTTCCCACTGTTAGAGGAAATCAATCTGATTCGCGAGTATTCTTGGGGTTCGGCTACATTGGCCTATCTGTACCGACAGTTGGGCATGACTACGCAAGCTGAGGCGGCGCAGATTGCTGGATGTCTGACACTACTATTATTATTGTTGTTGTTGTTGTTGTTGTTGTTGTTGTTGTTGTTGTTGTTGTTGTTGTTGTTGTTGTTGTTGTTGTTGTTGTTGTTGTTGTTGTTGTTGTTGTTGTTGTTGTTGTTGTTGTTGTTCATGGCGCAAAAATGCGACAATTTTCCCGACAGGAGTAACACCAACAATCTCCAACAAAGGCAATTTGTACTGATTGGTTTTGTAAGTACTGTCAAGTAGTAAAACGTACGGAAACTTACTTAACAATTCGACAGATTGAGGGTGAGCCTACATCAAATCAATAACTGAATGTGTTGTTTCATCAGTACGGAACCACTTGTAATAGTTATGCTCCTCAAGCAACCCAATCAAATGTTGCATCACTGTACGGTCACCCCTAGATAGTCTTTTCAATTTCGCCTTCTCATTGTATATTTGTTTCGAATAAGCATCGAGACCCAAACCATTTTGTCTCAAGTTAGCCAAAATCTTCTTGGGCGGCACATGACTTTGTGACAGATCACTAATGATCTTCGCCTCCTCCTGAGACAATGCACTCATCCCATGCCCGGACTTGTATATCGGAACATGATTATGCTTCCCGTATACTACTCTGACCTCCCATCTATCATCCCATCGTAGCTCTCCGACAATTTGAAAACCACAGTATATTTTTTTGCTACCGGTCCTTCTCGGGCACGCGTCTGGGTTAGTTGATGGACATTCTCGTTTCCCCCCGTATAGGTCACAAGTCAAAAAAATCTTTTTTTTAGGACTGCTTCTTTTTACTATTTTCACAAAAAGACCTCTTGCAACGAACCTCACCCAAACCACTACCTCATCCTTCGAGTCAAACAACTGAGTAGTGGTAAAATAATCGGTATGATCAACTTCAATTGTAGACGTATCGTCCTGAAAAAAACATAAAAAAATAGATTTAAAAAAAAAAAAAAAAAAAAAGGGTTTAAAGCCAAAAAGCCCAAATCGGGCGCCCGACG